GGATTGGAATTCCCTATTATAATATAAATCACAAAGAAACCCAAAGGAGGAAAGGAGTCTTGCTTTTATATGTGATTTTAACTGTCAAAGCTATAAATTGAAGAAGATTTTTAACAAATACTGGCCCATCTTACAGGTTGACCTCCTTTTAAATAAAATGTTACCCACTATTAACCTATAGGAGGGTGCCCAGTTTAAAGGATAATCTAGTAAGAAATCATAGTAAGGACCCGATAGGAAACACTAATGTTTTTAACCAAAATAATGTTTTTTATGGATGTGTTGTTTGTGGTGCCTGTAGAAATAGTGGCTCAAATAAAAGATATGTAACTTCCTTCGCCAACCCCCAAAATCACAATGATAAGAACTTTCAGATAAAACAGTTAATTACATGTTTTTCCCAAAAAGTTGTTTACTTAATTATTTGCAAATGCGGCATGGGATATGTGGGTAGAACCACCAGAGCACTACAAATACGGATACAGGAACATATCCGTAACATTAAAAAGGGGTTTGAGAAACATAGTCTGTCAGCTCATTTTTAAACGTTATCACAATTGAGATCTGACTCAATTAATATTTGTAGGCATTCAACTGGTGCACACCAATTGGAGAGGGGAAGATCCAATTAGAAAAATGGGGCAAGAAGAGATGAAGTGAATCTTCAATCTAAACACTATGTCCCCTGTAGGGCTTAACAATGACTTTGAAATATGCCACTTTTTATGAATCTATTTATTTTATCTTGGTTTTGGAAGTAAGAATTTAATATATTTTTATAGTACTGTACCTTTTAAATATTTTATGAATTTGATTTGGATACACCTCCTACAATAAGGTATTACTCTTTTATGGAGTATTAACATATATGGGGCTCTGTGTTAAAAAAGTGATCATTGGTATAATACTTTCTGTTCAACACACTATTATATGTAACAACTCTTATTTCCTGTTTTTTCTTTCATATGGTGTTGATAATCTATATTTATTCACTTATGAGGAAAACTATTTATGATATCACTCAAAGGATTATTGAATTCCGAGCAAATAGACCGCATATTTAAACCCAGAAATCAAGACGGAGCAGAATACCGATTGAAAAAGCCCTCAAGTAGGGCGAAACGCGTCTCAGGAGAGGATTCTTTGAACATTATCTTATATTTGTTATTTTAACCTTTGGTAATTGTTTTTATTTACTTCAATAAATTTGGAACTTTACTCAAGTCCATTCCTGAACCTCTGCTTCTGCTCTAAGAAGGGTGGTGTCCCCTTTACAGACACCCAGGCCAATTTTACCCAGAGCCTGGTACTAGGGCTCTGGACAAGGTGAGCAAGTCTTTTAAAGGTATATACATGTGGAAGATATTATTTTAATATACTACATTAGATTGTCCCCGATTGTGTCACCTTTTTGTCTCCTTATATTGAGGAAGAAACTCTATATCCACTCAAAGGGATAGTGCCACCAGACGGCACATATGCGAATGTGATCTGAGCCTATCCCATACAGGGCTCTTATACATGTGAGTGGAAAATCTTCCCAGTGCCTTTCCTTTTTTTAAACAGAACTATACAGTGCTACACTATTGTTTATCTTTTCTGTATTTTTTTATGTATATACGTACCTTAATTGAACGTACTACATGCAATTTTGTTAGGACAGCATCAAGTCACCCGTCAATGGGTAGGTGTCTAACAAATTTACTGAACGCTCCACTCTTAAGGTGAACTGATGTTGGTATTTCTCCCTTTCTCTTCTACTATACAATTTTGTGGTGGGTGAGAGGGACTCCCACCAGAGTGTTGTAGCGTTTTGCAATTTACCATAATCACTACCTAAGTGCCTGTAACACACAGCTCTTTGTTCACTTTTAGAAAAACAGATAGCATGACAGAAAGTCAATATTCCAATGAATATCTTGCAACATAAAGTAACATATTAAAACATATTTAATGTTAAATTGTGTAACGAATGATTGAATGGATACGGAGGACCTTGTGAAGGTCAGGCATGCAGAGACAAGCCCCTAGTAAATGTTAAGGGTTTGCATTATATTCGGTGGTCGTAATGAAGGCAGAATGAGGCCTTGACATTTGATATGAAACATGTGGGAAACTCGAGTTTGCCTTATCTTTTAGTAGACATGCTAATGGCTTTAACATGAATTGCATTTGTAGTGATTGACCTAGACGTGTTTGATTGGTAGCCAGTAGTGATGTCGAACGGCGAACGCGAACTTCCGCAAATGTTCGCGAACCGGCGAACCGCCCGAACCGCCATTGACTTCAATGGGCAGGCGAATTTTAAAACACACAGGGACTCTTTCTGGCCACAATAGTGATGGAAAAGTTGTTTCAAGGGGACTAACACCTGGACTGTGGCATGCCGGAGGGGGATCCATGGCAAAATTCCCATGGAAAATTACACAGTTGATACAGAGTCTGGTTTTAATCCATAAAGGGCAGAAATCACCTAACATTCCTAAATCACAATCAATATGGATTGACACCTGACATATGACATATTGACACCTTGACATATGGATTGACACCTGTCCTCAGAGCCCCTGATGCACACGGACACAGAGTAGAATAGAGACTGGTCCCCCTACATAGGGTCACTTGGCAGATATGGATTGACACCTGTCCTAAGGATCCCTGATACACACTGACACAGAGCAGAATAGGGACTGTTCCCCCTACATCGGGTCACTTGGCAGATATGGATTGACACCTGTCCTAAGGTTCCTGATACACACTGACACAGAGCAGAATAG